GGTCACTATTTTACGCAAGTTTTTGCAGAAGCTCAACACTGAAATCCCCCACAAGATCTCATCGTCAGCTTCATTTTCCGACCCCACACCGATAGGTTCTGATAAGCGCTTTTCGAGATTTCGAGCAATTCAGGCGACGATCAGGGTGCACTACTATTAGAGAGAATACGGTATAAGTAGGTTGTGTAAAATGCAGGGTACGATAGCTGGAGAAAACCTTAAATCTGTGAGGAAATTTTTAGTAGAAAGTTGACACGTTTTAGAAAACGGATTGACTATTTTGCAATAGTCTGAATTCATTTTAGCACTAGAGTTAACCCCCTCTGGAGGCAGCGGGACGAAGTGCCTTGTGGTGTAATGGTTAGCACGGTTGGGCGGTAAGCGAAAGGTCGCCGGTTCGAGTCCCGGCGGTGTACATGTTTTGCTCGGCCTTAATTCAAACTCTAGGAAATCGATTATCGATCGATCCAAGTATTTCCAGTAGCATTCAACACTTTGATAAACTTTGCACTTTCGGTGAAATTCAAAGAGACATTCAACAAAATTTCGTTGATCGAACAAAAAAAATATTTTTCTGCATTTCTCGTTATCAGATCGATGATCAGATGGGAAAAAAGGGGAAAAAAGGAAAAGAAAATCAGATTGATTTGGATGAAAATGGGGGGAAAAGGTGATAGAAATCCCGATTAATTTGATCATTTTGATCTTCATTTAATATTTGGGTTATTTGGATATATTTGGATTATTTGAATAGAAAATAACCCTCGAAAATAGACCTTGTTTTCGGTTCTATTTCGATCTTTTCAATTCGTTTAAACTTTCAAATATCATTTTGTTTTTATTTTCCCTTAAATACCAGTTTTTTTTGATCAATCTTGATCATTTAGATCATTTAGATCATTCGGATTGTATCATTTATTGTATCATCTGATTGTATCATCATTTACTGATTGTATAAAAAGCAAAAAAATGTTTTTGAATGCTCATTTTGACTCAACTAAAAAACTTTGTTAATTAAATTTATCGAAAATTCTCATCTTCAAGTTTCTTTAGCGTACTTTATGCTCAAAAAATGTAAACGAATCTCACCTGACGCACTTGATTCCTCATTTTCCTTGTTATACCATTTCTCGACTCTTCATTTTCCTTTATTTCCAAGAAAATGAAGAAACCAGTGCGCTAGTAGTCAGCACGTTTACATTGTTGAGCACAAAGTACACGACATCGCTTTATCAACTGTTTTTTTTACTTTTTTACAGCAAAACTCTAGTTCTACATTCAATTTTTTTTGATCTCTACCATTGTTTATTTATCATTTAACTGATTTTCAACCATTCACCCACGTGAAGACATAGAAATTGTTCGTTTTGATGTCCTTGAACATCGAGAGATCTAATGATCATTTAATGATTGTCAGTTCAAAGGTTCATGTTTTCTAAAAGAAGAAAAAGTAAAAAGAAATAGAAAGTAATCACATTGCTCTCTCTGATATCTTTTCTTTCTCATTGCTGAGTACAGTCTATTTCTTTTGGTTGAGGGCGCCCGGCAGTCGCCCCGCCCCGCCCTCTCCCCTTTTCCTCCCCTTCAATTCCCGTTCCCCCATTTCTCCTCACTCAAATACAAATCACTTCCCCAGTCCTCAGAGTTTCCGAGAGTTGGAGACTTTTTTTACTTTAAAGTTTCAACTTCTTTATTTCAAGTTCATGTCAAATATCCCAATGTCTTACTGGATTCCCAGCCTATTTCCCGATCTTGATCTCTTCTCATCCATCAACCTTTTTAAACTCTACTGAATCCCCTTGAATTTTGATAAAGCCCTTCTACCATTTTCCGTTTAGATCCGACCAGTTCGGCAAGTTTTAAACTCATATCAAAAGCTTTTCCTTGAGCCGATTTCTCAGGCAAAATCAAGCTAAAGCCAAGGTTTTTGACCAAAATTTTCGGCCAACCAAAAACTATTGGCTTTGACTTGGCTTTCATTGTCCTATCATCGTGCCATTACTCATTGTTAAGCTTTTCTGCCAGCCTTCCCTCCAGCTTTCTCCTCGAAATCCCATTTATCCATCAATTCTTTCAATCAAACTTTCCAGAACAAACAAGATTCGCCGATTGCCGAGCCATTTTTGTGATTTCACTACTCAATTTCTTCTTCGCCCACCTAAAAATTCCATTGCCTGAGAATTGCGTTTAAAAGGAAGGCAATTCTATCGTTTTTTGTGGTCACCTGGGGCACTTTTTAGAGATCTTCAGGGAATTGTCTCTCTTCAGAAAACCAGTGAAGAATTTCCGCAAGAATTCGAGACTTAACTTTACTTCTTTCTGTAGAAGCAATTGAGCACTTAGGAATTGAGGATCTAGAAATGTAAATGTCTAGATATAGCACTTTATCAAGCGCTGGGCTTTTTTAAAAATCTTATATCTAAATATCTATCGGCTGGATTTCGATCTTTCTTGTTTATCTAGATCTCTGACACAATAATTTTCGAGCCCCTTTGGTCTCATTTTGTCTTATTTTTTCTTATTTTGTGTATCTAACAAAGCTGTTGATTTACAGTAAACGTAAACAAAACTCGAATTTTGACCTTTCCAAAAAAAATAGGGCCAAGGTGATTGATAAAGGAAGTGAATGGGCAAAGAGAAGGGTTTGAGGTTTGGGGGTATCCCCCTTGTGACCTCAGTCTGCTTTTCTTCACAAAGCCATTCATTTTTCTTTCTTTTTTTTCCCCCAAAATTCCTTTTTGCTTTCGTCATCAACCTTCTTTTTTTTCTTCTTTTTGAAAAATCTCTTCCTCATCTTGCTTTAGAAGCCTAGTGAGGCTCAAATGAATTCCCCAATACTTTGACGATCAGTTCCTGGTTATTCCATATTTCTTATTTTTTATGAACCCCCAATTGCCAGCTTTCATTGATATTAATCCACTATCGATTATCGAAACTTTTAAAAACTTTTAAAAGATTTTGTACTGTATTACTGTAAGGATTTACAAAATAATGTAAACCCTTACAGTAATTTTGAAGCTACCATAAGCTACTATTGCCGTTAAAATTTAAAAATAATCAAATATCTAGCTATTTTCTTCTATATTAATCATCCCTTCAATCCCCATCGAAAGACAAAAATTGTTTTAGGATTATCTAAACGAAAAATTTCCCGGGATTATCCCCAATACTTTGACGCATTATTTCCCGGCTTTTGTTCTTATTTGAAGATTTTCTTTTTTTTTTTTTTTTTTTTGATCCGATGAATTCATGGAGAAAATCAACTATTCTCTTTTTCCCAAAATGCCATTTTTATTTGTCATTTTCATTCTCCATTTTCATTCTCCATTGACAAACTCAAATTTTCCCATTATTCCTTTTATTTTGCTTCACGGTCTCATACACAATTTTGCCAATTTTTTCTTTAAAAGGTGACTTTCTGCATATTGAATGCAAATGCAAATGAAATGCAAAAAAAGCTACAGTAAACGATTTAGCTATACTAGAAACGTTATCTAACTATAAGACTTTGTTTAACTCGATAAGAGTCTAAGGAAGTGTGTGGGAGTGACAGAGAGAGAGAGAGAGACAAGACTTCCGCCGCTTCTCTCTTTTTCTTTCTTGTCTTGTCGACTCGATGGAAGAGCTCGTCTGATCTCTTTTCCCCATTTCTCTTATGTCAACACCATCTGAACCGGAAAAACAGTCGAAATTTCGGAAAATTTCCACGAGACGACGAGATACACGTTTCCTTTTGCGGATAGACGAAAGGTGGACCCGCTTCGAACAAATGAATGAGTGTTTTGGTGTGATCCGGAAGTATATCTAAATAGATATTTCTAAATAGATATATCTAAATATCTAGTCTAGTGGCTGGTATCTTTCTTAAGCCAACTGTGATCCCCGTTTCCAGGGTTTCATAGTTCCAGGGTTCCAGGGCTTCAGGGCTTCAGGACTCCAGGGTTCCAGGGCTTGCGATAGTCTAAAGCTACGCTAGTTTACAATAACTTGCGGCTATTCCGGTTAGATTCGACATCGAAAATACATTTTGATATGCAGAATTCGATACGTGCTCACTCACATAGCCATTTTCCTGTCCTTGTTCTACCACAAACACTCAATTTCCTTCTAAAAATTGATGCAAATCTGACTCTCATTCCCGATCTTCAATTGATAAGCTGTCTGCTCAAAAAAAGAGCTCAATCCATCATTTTTCTTTTGAAAAAGACATTTCACCTCAAATCTGATTCCCCAATGACCCAAGTCTACCTTGACAGGTTTGAAAATCGAAATTTTTGAGATTTTTTGGGATTTCAGTTTTCCCAGTTCTTCTCAATTCATTTCTCAACTTGACTAAAGTTACGCAAAAAGTTTCAAAAGAAACTCGAAAAATCGGTCAAAATCGGTCTGTTTGCTTTAGAAAAAAAATTGAACGTTTTCAAGTTTTTCTCAATTTTTAAATCTTTGAATTGAAAAAATAAATTGAAAGTTTTTGTCTTTTTTCTTTAAAATCTTCAGTTATTGTGCTTTTTTTGTTTGTTTTTTTTCTTTAAAATTCTCAGACTTTATTGTGCTTTTTTGTTTGTTTGTACTTTTCGGAAAACATGTCAAAAAAACGATTGATATTGAAAATGAAAGCTTTTCATTTTGGCGGCGATCTATTTGTTTACAATTTATGAGGTCATTCGGCTTGCTGTGGCTGAAGCTGAAGCATTTAACCTTTGTTTTCAGCCTTCAGCTTTTAACCTTTTTTCTCTATCTCTCTTCAGGAAACTTTACGTAGCTTTCCTTCGTTACGATAACTCAAATTTGACTTTAACGGAGATCACTGTAACTTTAATTACTATTCTATCTGCAGTACTTCATACGCAAAGCTTCTCTTCTCAATTTCCAGTTACGTTTTTAAATGATTTATTGATCTTTTATCGGCTTTTATCGGTTTTGTTTAAATTTTAGAGATCTTTTTTGCTTAAAATCAATCTAATCTCTGCAATCTAATCTCTTCTGTTTTCAGAGCTATTATGATGGAAGTTTGCTATAATAATAACAATGAATGGGTCCGCAATCCGGCTCAACGAAAACCAAAACGCGATTTCCGATTCCAGGTTTGTAAAGAAGAAAATTGAGGAAAAAAAAAATAGAAACGAATCATTTCTCTCCCCAATCTACCAATCACAAATTTGCGCGCGCCAAAAGTTTTGAACTCTTGATTTTTGAAACTTTTAAACTTTTAAACTTTTAAAAGATGAACTTTTCGATACTCAAATTAAATGTTGACAAAACAAAGATTGATTTGTTGTTTTGTCTTTGTTTTGTTGACAAAACAAAGATTGATTTGAGCAAAAATCAAAAATCCTTAAATTATTATTATTATTATTTTGTACATATGACCCAAAAATATAGCTTTCGAAGTTTCGTAAGCGGATGTTGCAAAGAAAAAAAAAACCCCGAATTCTCTCTCATGTTTACTATACGAAAAGTGCCCTAAAGAAGGAAAAGTGGCAAAAAAAATGGCAAAAAAGGAAAAAAGAATCTCTTTTTGTTAGTTGAAATTTTGTCGCTTTTCGTTTTCCGTTCTTTTTTTGGTGGAAAAGAAAGGGGAAATCGAATTGGGAAAAGATCCACAAAATGACGATTGTATAGTTGGTATAGTTGGCATTTGGGCATCACTTTAGCTAGTTTACATTATAGAAATTTTACAAAGTTCGCTGAGGATTTAAAAAGTGGGTACTTGTCGGTTATACATCCACAGAGACTCATCTCGGTTAAGCAAGGAGCTGACAACTGAGGAGCTGAGGAGCTAAGGAAGGAGTGAGGGGTGATGCTCAGTCAAATAGAGTGCTCGCCTGAAGTGATCAGTCGATCAGTCGAACGAGAATCGTTAACTGAGAAGACTCGCATGGAGATGCTTAACCGTGATGAGTCTCTGTGGATGTTTAAGCGACAAAAAGTGACCTGCTGGCCACAGTATCTCAGTTACAGTAGGTTTTTAGGCTAGTTTTTCAAGCTCTAAGCTTTTTGCTGCTTGATCTATCCATTAAAACTCTTGTTGATCAAAGCTTGCTGAAAGTTTTCAGCTTTAGAGTTTAGAACTTGGAACACAAGAAAGGGGGAATGACTGGTTAGCTGGTCGGCTGACTGGCTGACTGGCAAGGGCCATGTGGCGCCTGAGTAAACTTGAAATAGCTGGGAGTTCAGCTGAAATCAAGGCAAGGCAAGGCAAAAAAAAAGCAAAAACAAATCCACTGCATGAATCATTGGGTGAAATTGAAAAAAGAGTTGTGAATTTTAAAGGGAATTTTAAAGGGATACTCAAAAAGTTGGCGGCTATAGATAAATGATATAATTTATGGCTTATAGCTACTGTAACTCAAGGTTACTATAACTATAATCAGTGATCAAAAGCTACTGTAACTCAGGGTTACTGTAGCCTAGAGCTACGGTAGCGTGCTGTAGAGCAAGCTAGTCGTTGCTCAGTTTCCGATAGTTTTGGGAACTTTAGCTTGGAACCAGCTTATTGTAACCTTCATTTACAGTACTCTTACAAAAAAAAAAGACAATTTATAAACTGACCTTACAACCTTTTTCTCTAGGTAATCGAGGTGAACAGCACCCCGAAATGGTTTGTGTGGCCATCGCGGAAAGGATCCGTGGACCTGGACGAGAATTGCAATGGAAACAACAAGACACAAGTGAGTTTTCAGAGCTACAGCAATCAATCATCGCCTACAGCACTCTACAGAGCTCTTACAGTACTCTTACAGTACCCTTTCTTATGCAAATATCTATTTTTAATGAATGTAATCAGTTCAGACCTCGCTGACCCCGTCATCCACCCCATCGCAAGCCTTTGCCACCCCGTCATCCACTCAATCATCAGCCTATTCCACTTCTTCGAACACCTCCACTCATCAGGCGAATCACAATGGATATGGGAGTGTCCGGCGATCGCTCGTGCGAAGAAGAAATGGAGATGGTAAGGAAATTTGAATAGTTTGTTCAGAGCAGAGCAGATCAGATCAATTCTTATCAACCACTTTTCAGTGGAGCCAACATCTCTCTCGGTTCCTCCTCGATGTGCCGCGTGTCACTGTCAAATTTTGACACCGGATCGCCCGCGTTTAGAGTCACCGGTGAGGAAATTGTCGATCAAAAAGGATAAGGCGAAGACCGAGCCACTTTCCACGTCGATGCCTACGTTTCAGGTGAGAACAGGGGTACTGTAACTGTCACTAGCTATAGAATTAGCTTTACTGGACAATGTAGTAGCTAGCTTCACTACTGTACTTAACTTTTTCCTAGTTACTGTAGCGGTGCTGTAGCTGTAGCCAATTCAATTACTAGAAAACTGTAGTGCTTAGTTCAGTACTGTACTATACATTACATAGCTACTGTAGCCATTGTCCACTTGTGGCTAATTTAAGTACGCAACTTTTGCGAGGTTACTGTAGCAGGGATAATGTAGCTCTTGCTATTAGTACTGTCACTTTTACAGGGAAACTTAGGATACAGTAACTAAAGTAATACAGAGCTGCTATTGAACAACTGAGGTATATCAATTTTCTAATAAGTGCTTTCATTACAGATCCTCTCAATCGAGAAAAAGTGGGAATCATTTGACGCCGAGGACGACGATGATGAGGGATTGGATGAGGGTGTGTCCGGGTTGCAGATCGACTCGAAAGAAACGCGTCGTTGGACCACTCAATGAATTGATTGAATATCTTCACTCCAGAATTGACTGAACATCATTCAGTCAACTCTGTACATAGAACCATTCAATCAACTTTCCCCGCACAATGGAAATATCCCTGTACATAAAACCAGAGAACTTTCCGCTCTTTTTTTTTTCTATATTTCACCAGCTCAGCTTCGTTTTTGCCTTTCCTTTAGTGCCATATAAGTTTTTTTTGTTTTCTTTTACAGTCAGAAAGATGGGTATTTTATTGTTTTCGGTAGATTTTCCATAAATTTTGAGAGAATCATCATTTGGAATTTGGAAAATCTATCGTTTACCCCTTTTGTCCTCCCGGTACAGATATAGGTGCAATCATGTAGAAAAATCTCTTTTTTTTTCTCTCTTTTTCTCTTTTTTTTCTTTAAAACGAATACTCATTGCGGGTCACCGGAGTAAAGAAGCCAAAATTTTTTCTTGTTTTTATGCAAATTTTATTTCATTTTCATTCATCATTGCTGGCCTGTTTTATTTGAACATTTTTTGCATATTTAGATGATTCGTTTTATCGTTTTATCGTTTTTTTTTAAACCCTAAAAGGGTATAAAGAAGTTTTCAGCTATTTTTCTTGAACATCTTATTTACAAATACATCTTATTTTAATTAAAGATTACTGTAAGAAAGATTTAATTAAGATTTAATTAAAATTACTGTCCTTCTCTTGATACTGTCGACTTTTTTATAAGTTTTATCTATTCAAATTATCCGAAAAAAAGTCTAAATAGCTTTTAGCTTTCAGTTTATTTTAATTGAAGAATTATATATATGTTGTGTCCGATTTAGATTTCCGTCCGATTTAGATTGAATCTAAATCGGACGTCCGATTTAGATTGAACTTATCGCGGACGTCCGATTTAGATTACGGTCTATATTGGACGTCCGATTTAGACTCAATCTAAATCGGACGTCTTATATAGATTGAACAATAATATAAACATGTTTAATATATGTTCTTAAGCGTTTTCTGTAGTTTTCTGCATTTTTCAAAGGTCTGTTACTGTCTTTTTCTGAAAAGAAAACCCAACTATGAAATAATCAATAAAAGACCTTTGAAAATGCAGAAAACTACAGAAAACGCTTAAGAACATATACTAAACATGTTTATATTATTGTTCAATCTATATAAGACGTCCGATTTAGATTGAGTCGTCCGATATAGACTGTAATCTAAATCGGACGTCCGCGATAAGTTCAATCTAAGTCGGACGTCCGATTTAGATTGAATCTAAATCGGACGGAAATCTAAATCGGACACAACATATATATATATATATGCTTTATTCAGTTGAATAGCGACAAAACAAAATCACAATAATTACCCGGGACACCACTCAAAACACAGCCAAAAGACAAATACACTACTGGACAATGAAATATCATATTTGAAAAAAGATCGTCACTTTTGCGTGTCTGTAACTCCCTTGTCTTTACCGTATTTCTAAATATTAATATTACTATTGTGTAGCCCTTGAAAAGAGCTTTCAGAAAATGTATAACACTAATAGTTTAAACTTAAAGAAAAGGGAGTTACAGACGGGCGAAAGTGGCGATCGTTTTTCAAATATGATATTTCATTGTCCAGTACTGTAGATACCTCAAGAAAGAATCACAGAGCAGTCAAATCAATTGCCGAAATTGTGGCTTTAAATCTAGCCAAGGTGGGAATATCATGAACATGAGGGGGTAAAATGCTCCAGAATTTAATAACTCGATTAAAAAAGAAACTGTGGGGGCTTTTAGAGGAAACGGAAGGTTGGCGTATGAGAAAAGGCTTCCTTCTGGAGGCACCCCTTCTAGAGGCGCCCCTTCTGGAGGCCTTTTCCTTTTCCTTTTCCTTTTCCTTTTCCTTTTTGGGGACCTTTTCTCCTTTTTGAATACAAATACATCTTATTTTAATTAAAGATTACTGTAAGAAAGATTTAATTAAAATTACTATCCTTCTCTTGATACTGTCGACTTTTTTATAAGTTCTATCTATCCAAATTATCTATCCAAATCCGAAAAAAAGTTTAAATAGTTTATTTTAGCTTTCAGTTTATTTTAATTGAAGAATTGATTGAATCAATTCAATCGATTCGGCAGAGTTGGCTATTTTTTTGATTAAAAGAAAAAAAACTCACTTCACTTCACTTTGAAACGTGGGCGGATATGTTTGTCTACAAAAAATGGCCAACAAAAGAGCTCTCTATTGAATTTTTTTGTGAAAGAATTCTGTCTATGACTCTATGGACAAGCAAAAGTTTTACCCAGTTTAGTTCAAAGCACTTTAATCCATTCAGCCAGTGTGCTAAATGCGAGTTTTTTTTTCGAACAGAACCCACAAGCCAACTCAGCTACTCAATCAATATCAAACAGTTTTTGTTTTTTCTTTTACCCCACAAAATCTTCAATTCCCTTTCGTCACAGAATTCAAAATATTCAGCTAAAGACAAGGAAAACGATTTTCTCCTTGCAATCTTGCAGGCTTATCGATAGAAAACTCATTCAAATAACGGGCAACAAACAAAATCTCATCAATTCTGCAATTTTTATGAAGATCTTTGATTTTAATCTATTTATAAACTAAAATAAAAAGTTTAAAAACTCATTTTTCTTTAATCATTCGTTGCTAAGGTTAAAGTCGTTTTTGAAGGAAAAGAATCCAACAAAACAAACACCATTTTCTGTAGGGAAAAAAGACAAAAAAAGAGAATACATTTCTTGAGCATAAAAACAAAAAACTAAAACATTTTTGTGGTTAATTTAGGAAAAAAGGGGAGATTCGAAATGTTTAAAGATTAGAAAAAAGACAATAGCTCAAATTATTTCTGTCTTTGTTAGAGATTTGTTTTTCAAATGATTCCATAATTTATAAGAATAATAGAGACTAATTTTTGACATTAGAAAGCATTTTTTTTAGCTTACTCATGAAATATCTACTTCCAACAATAAAAGAGCTAATCAGGGGTGTTTAAAACAGAAATTTTTAGGATCTAGACCAACTAGACAAGACTAAAAGTCTGTTCAATGGTTGCGCAATTAAATCTGTTCAAGTTTTGCAATTTCATTTCTTGAACACCTTGTAGTTTTAATTACTTTATTAGCACATGGTAAAGAGAGTAATGAAAGAGAGCAATCGTTAAATGAAAAACGTCAATGGACACCAAATTGTCCATAAAAATTCGGTTATCACCTAGGTGTTCTCAAAGAAAAATGTACAAATAAATAATGGAATGGATGACTGGAATTTTCGTCAAAAACTCTTGCAGAAAATTTCTTTATTTAAACTCAATAGAATTGTGATATTTGAAAGAGAAAGTTATGATAGATATTCAGTAAATTTGTGCCTGAGATTTTCGGCCAATTGATCGGCCAATTGATCGGCCAATTGATCGGCCAATTGATTGGTTTACCGTATTTTCTCTAATAGTAGTGCACCCTGATCGTCGCCTAAATTGCTCGAAATCTCGAGAACCGCTTATCAGAACCTATCGATGTGGGGTCAGAAAATGTAGCTGACGATGAGATCTAGTGGAGGATTAGAGTGTTGAGCTTCTGCAAAAGCTTGGAAACCGTGAAATAGTCACCAACTCGGCTCGCCGGGGTCCACTACTATTAGAGAAAATACGGTATTCATTTTATTGCTCACCAATTAAAACTCGGATTTAATTTGTTGGTTATACCTTCAAAGTATTACCTTCATAGCTAAGCTCAAAAAGAAAGCCAATCCTTATCCAACGAATAAAAGCTATTTCTTTCTAGAGACTTTTTCAAAAAGTTCTTAACTTGGCTCTCACAGTCTGTCAATTCGTTTGATTTAATCCAACGATGAGAAAGCTTTAAGAAAATCACCATGATGTTTGGCAAATACTTCCAAGTATAGTTCAAGATTCTTAACAGAATAAATAAAGACAACAAATAGACTAACAGAATATGCAAACATTTAAAGGAAACGGGTGGTGAAAGAGCTTGAATGTAAGGTCTTGAGCTTGGGGAAATTCCCGCTTCAATACTCTGTACGGAATTCTCTATGTAGGCAGAAAAACTCTGTAAGTGAAATTCCTTTAACGGCTACCTTTAATTGAATGGCTTAAGAAGGGTACTGAAATGAAAGTTTTGAATAAATTGATTCTGTCTGACTTTTCCTAACTGGCTACTAACTTGTCACTTTAGCATTTACAAAGTACCACGATATTTCTGTAACCCTTAGGCAAGTAGAGCAATCAAAGCAATTTGAAAAGATCGAGTTTCATTTTGATGCAATGATCCTCTCTTTTCATTTCCATTCCATGTGACGTTCACAAACAATCGGCTTTTTCCCGTCCTCTAGTGTCTCTTTTTTCCCTTATCACCAAATGTTTCCTCCAAATTTCCCAGAGAATTTGGTGGGGATCTTTGAAATGATGAACTTGAATTGAATTTACGATTCTGACTACGTTAGTACAGACTAGTACAATGCACTGTACTTCGAAAGTACTTTATCTTTTCGTGCTCTACTTTATGCTCGACAACTTCTAGTTAAGAGTCAAGCCTTGGACCTTAATCTTGACATATTTCGAAATTTCTCTTTTTTTTTCTACTACTCAAAATCCCAACTTTAAACCCCAAAGTTTTGACCTTCAGATGCACTGTATTCTTAAGGGACTCAAGCACAAACTACTGTACTTATCATTGGGAAATTAGACATTAGACATTAAGCATTAGACTCAAGCGCTTTGGAACTTGTACTGCTCTGAAAATTCCAGACCCAGACTCTTATCCACACTAGTAATAAGTCAAAAAGTGACGGTATGATTCCTCTAAAAGCGCCTTTTTCCATAAAGCCTTTTCCTTTTTCATTACTTATCCCATTCGTGATTTGTTCTTGCTTAAGAATGACATTGGAGATTGAAATCTGGTGAGGCGCCAGGAGAAGAAGAAGAAGAGGAAAAAAGAAATGAAAAGCGAAAAGCACTCGTTCAACCTCGCTTATCAGAAATGAAAAGAAATGAAAT